GCTAGTGGAATCAGGATTTGTTTGTCAGTATTACGGTTTATCTGGCTAATATCAACTTTTAAAAGATCAATACGACAATGGCACCGCCACTGTAACAGATCCTACATCCAAGTAAAGTTGAGGTGGAAAGTTTTTAATTTTTTAATTAAACTACTGAAGTAACAAATGAACTTTGCTATGTTGATGATGAGTCAATTTAAAAATTACGTTGTTAAAAAAATAACAAAAATATCACAATCATGGGAAATTATTGTGTCAATGCTGACAATGGCCTTTATTCTTTTGAAGAAGCAATAATAAACTGCAACCAGCAGGTGGCACAAACAGACTGAATATAATACATCTCTGCTTTGAAAAAGCTCTTGACAAATCACTTTCTCTTGAAAGACTACTAATTGGTGTGCAAACTACAGCTACTTATTTAGACAAGTGAATATCACTCCATTGGTAGTATTTGTTCTAGCAGGGTCATCCCTTCAAAAGGACAAAAAAAAGATGATTCAGGAAATTACTGGCCAATCAGACTGACATCTAAAACATTATTTGGGAAGGAATCCCACTGGAGCATTGCAGCACACCCAAATACCTGGGAGTTACCCTGTACTGTGCTCTGACTTACAAGAAGCACTGACTGACTATCAAGCAAAAAGTGGGTGCTAGAAATAATATCATATGAAAGCTGACTGGCACAACCTGGTGATCACAACCAGACACAGAGAAGACATCTGCCTTTGTGCTTTGCTACTCTGCCACTGACTACGCATGCCCAGCACAGAACACATCTCACCACACTAAAACAGTGGATGTGGCTCTTAATGAGACATGCCACATTATCATGGGATGTCCACACACCACCCGATATCTGCCGGGAAGCAGCAGCCAACAATGAAATGACCAAGCCATGGACATCTCCAGCCCATCCTCTGTTCAAATATCAGCCAGCATGCCAACGCCTTAAATCAAGAAATAGCTTTCTAGATCTGCAGAGATACTCGCAGGAACACATCACCAAGCAAGAATCCAAAAGCGACAGGCTAAAACCCAGAACCTCAATCCATGGCTGTTTCCAAAGATTCCTCCCTGGGCACACAGATGACAGGGGTCCTCAAACTAATGGTACCATCCTGTACGGAAATGTCACTGAAACAAATGGTAAGTGGGAACGATAACCATTTGGTCAGCTGATTTTTGGTGCTTGGTTGAAGGCCCTGGCGCTTTGCCATCAATGGGCCAAAAATATTAGTTTTTTGTTGTTTTTGGACTTTGGACAAAAAAGCTCATTTGGAAAGGTGCCCATTTTCAGGAGAGGTGCTCGAAAATGAAAACAGGGCCTTGCAAATGAAACAGACCGGAACAGATAGTGATTCTGTACAAATGCACAAAACTACATATACATACACAACTGAACACAAGGATGTGTGCAAGGTACATGCTGAGCCAAATGGGTGGTGATAGGCTGATAAGATTGTTCAGATGTTAAGGAATTCAAAGCATTTTGAAAAACACTGAAATATACACAGAGAAAATGGAAGACTAGACAGGACTTGGAGCATCCCTCTCCAAGGGCTACCTACTCCATGTGAGCTGAAACACGAGGAAAAGCATTATGTTTAGTTGCCATTTATAATGTGGAAAGTGGGGAGAATATTGAGAGAGAAAGTGCTATAAGGAATTCTCAATCACTCATGTGGTCAACTGCATCCTAGCATACAATCATCTATATAAATAAAAATGTAATGCTCAGTTCTTGTGGGTTTTTTCGGGCTATATGGCCATGTTCTAGAGGCATTTCTCCTGACGTTTCGCCTGCATCTATGGCAAGCTTCCTCAGAGGTGAGGTCTGCTGGAGCTGGGAAAAAAGGGGTTTGTATATCTGTGGAATGACCAGGGTGAGACATGTAATGTAATGTTCGTTTGTGGGATTAACATAACTTAAAAACCATTGAACGAATTGACACCAAATTTGGACACAATACACCTATCAGGCCAACAAGTGACCATCACTCATAAGAACACTGAAAAACACTGCGGAAGGGACTTCAAAAACCAAAAAAGAAAAGACGCTACAGTGCATTTGTAAAACCACATATATACACATATACACATACATACACACACAAAACTCATCTACATAGACTGGGCCACAGCAATGCGTGGCAGAGGACAGCTAGTTTCCTAATAAAATACTGCAAAGTACATGGTGTTGCCATACATAGGCAGGTGACTTGAAAGTGCACGCATACACTGTCTAGTCAGGAAGTCTTCTCATAATATAGTGAAGAACCTTTCCTGGAAATGTTTGAGAAATCAAATTTGCCTAAGAATAACTACAAATTTATTTTCCAAGAGTAAAAGCCTGGTGCTTGGAGCTTCCTCTGATATATAACATTATGAAGTCGCACAAAGGGAATAAGTTCATTACCCCCCCCCCCCACTCCCCGTCTTTTACTGTCAACATTCGCTGAGTAGCTAAACACATACTAAACCATTTAGCTCAAAGGTGACTTTTACATATTCTTAGAACCTCACGTTCCTCAGACATTAGCACACCAGTCTAAACAAACCTTTTTGGTAATAGGCTTTAACTGCAAAAATAAAATAGGCATGTACACACATGCACAAACACAGACAAGGAAAGCTCAGTTTAGAAATGTCAACTGGAACAGCAGTCGCACAGCTGTCGAGTCAATTAGATCCAAAGCAGCTGGCTCTTAATTAAGCAAACAAAAGCTTCAATTCAGGAAGCCTGCAGTTGATTTGGCTATCCAGTAACTGATTAAGCTAAGGTAACTAAATTAATCAGAATTTGCTGGAGTACAAACAAGACTTTCTGAAGAAAACGAAACAGATTCCATATATTAAAGGCAATTTTAAGCTGAAATGTGCCCAGAAGGGTACGTATGCATCACAGAAACACACAACACATACACGTATGCTTCAATCCTGAAAGTTCGCAAAGTGTTTTAAGTCAGGCTTGATTAAATATGTGGCAACATTCTTTTAAAATGAAAGCTGCTTCAGTCATTAAGCAAGGAACAAGAGCTATGTGGGCTCACTTAATGGACCATGAACCACAGCTGGAAAATAACACTGATGATGTAGCCTTGTAGTAAGATGTAAGAGCGGGGAGAATGACTGTTAAGGGAAGAAAGCTTTTCTAACACAGACACTACTCAGTGGCAACATGGAGAGGGCACAAACTTCCAAGATCATCCTGAAGCCCCTGTTTTTAGGACACATACATTGAATCACTGATCCTCTGCAGATTTCCTGGGAAAGGAAGTTGCTATTTCCCCTCCAACATGGAAGAGCATGCATTGCATTAAAAATCCAAAAAGAAAGGGGGAAAAAACATATTCCACACTACTTCTCTCTTCCTTAGAGAAAAGGCCTAACAGTTCAAAACCACATTATTTCATGCAGCAATCTCAAACACACTTAATAGGGAGGACGCCTCAGTGAAAACAATCATACATATCACAGTACTATACACACAAACTCATTTTTAAATCCCTGATCCAGTTTATGGTCAATAATATGTTATTGGATTTGACTCTATTTGTTACTTTTGAAACAAACACTTGGGGTGCCAGTGTTTCTAAAAATATAACCATTAACTTTTAGAAGTAAATAAAAGAAGTCTTAAGCCCCATCTTAATCCAATTTCATTCTCTTCCTGAAGGCAAAGCCCACAGATTTCATATGAACCATCTTTATATGTACACTTGATCCTAGCCCAAGGGCTGAGAAGCAAATACAAGCAATTATTTTTTACCTCAAATAGCATTAAACCTACCGTGCTACTACATAGATTCAAAGAATCTATATTGGATTTGTCAGAAATATTAAGAATTAACTTGGTATTTTTAATTACAAAAATGTAAGTCACGCACTGAAAGAGTTAAATAAATGCAATGGCTTCGCAAAAGCTGTAGTTCAATATAAACAGTTATGCCTGTAGATTAGTAGGCCTCAGTATTAGTTCGACTCAGTGTGTGAAAGGCCTCAGTCTCAGAGAGCTCTCCGTGTGAGGAAGGCCACAGTGGGAGAAAGGCCTCAGTGTTAGTGGGCATCAGTGTGAGTAGGCCTGGTGTGAGACACTTCGATGAGAGGAAGCCTCAGGTTGAAGGCTTCATGTGTGAAGATCCAATGTGAAGGCTGCTGTGTGTAAAGCTACTGTGTGAAGCTCCTGTATTAGTTGGTGTGAGAAGAAGCTCTGTGTATAGCGAAGCTAGAAGCTGTTTATCTGCATTAGAAAGAAGTGCAGTGTTGAAGCAAAGAAGGAGATATGTATATATAAAAACTTTGTGTTATGGAAATCTTGTTATTGTAACCACATTATTTTACTATTTTATGGAAGAGATAACATTGGTCTGTGTGTTTTTGTTCTATCACTTTTAGCTACTGGTGCTGGGTCACGCTGCTGCTAATAAGTTACTCTGCTATACATTCATGAAGAGGGTCTTTTTTTAATAAGCCCACTCGTCCAACAGGATTTACCAGTAATAATACATCTACCTAGCTTTTTCATATTTCTGTTATGCATATTTGCATGTGCTACTGATGAGCATTTGCTGAGGCATTTTTAGATAAGACAGTCACCTTGAAAGTTTTATGATAGCAACTAATAGCATACAGCATATCTTACTAATAACCACTGATGCATAGACAATAACATTTATTTGTTGAATTTCTGCCTTCTACTAAGACCTCCAACTCATAATAATTTTATTTTTGAGTGTTGCTGAACTGCTATTCTTGTGGAGAAAGAACGAACGAAGAGCAATTTCTTCAGAATCTGAATATGTAGAAGCGGATGAACTCTGAGGGCAAAATATGGCAGTGGGATCCAATAAATTCTTAACTTCTTAACAAGTGAAACCTATTTGAAGCAAATGTGAAGTGGACCTCCAATTTTGATTCAGGGTGGGAAGAGTACGTCAGAGTGATGAGAAGTCTGGATTACAATGGTGCATATTCACACAAACAAAGAAATGTACCTCTGTCCCTGATCCAGCGCCTGGGGAGTCCACTTTCCTCTTCTTTCTGGGCCCTATTGCAGCCAGTGCAGTTAAGTTGGCATCCCTCTGTCTCATTTGTGCTAATTCCTGCTGCTGCATCTGTGTTTTGCAAAAACAGAAAATGACAGTTCCCCTTTGAGTTTTACAATTTTTAAAATTCAGTTTATAATATTGTTCTGTAATGATAAATATAAGCTGAAAACAAGTATTTTTTAAGTACCTCCTTGGCCTTCTGTTTCAACCTTAGCTGCTCTGGATCTTCTTGTCTAGATCGAGACTGTGTTGGTAAAAAAATACATGGGAAAATGGGGAGAAAATAAAGAAGATATGAGAGAACAATAAAGCAGAACTTTTAAAAAATACATTTTGCAATTTCTTATTTTAACGGTATTCAAAACAATACATTCTCTTATTATTGCCAAATACCATGAACAACCATGAGCTTTAAGAACAGACTGAGCAATTATATCAGCTGTATGCAAGGCAATCTGAAGTTGAAATACCCGTGTATTTCTGATTACTAAGTCAGAGAAAGCAGCTTTTTGGACAATCCGTGTGGAGAAGATGCATTACATTACATGAGGATAAACTTCCTGACAGTAAGAATTGTTTGAGAATGGAATATGCTGCCTTGGTAAGGTCTCCTTCTCTGGAGGTTTTTAGACAGAGGTTGGATGGCCATTTGTTGAAAGTGCTCTGATTGGGATTTCCTCCATGGCAGGGGATTGGGCTGTTTGGCCCTTAAGGCCTTTTGCAACTTTCTGGTTCCATCTTTTTCATGTCAGAAGCGACTTGAGAAACTGCAAGTCACTTCTAATATGAGAAAATTGGCCATCTGCAAGGACGTTACCCAGGGAATGCTTGATGCTTTACCATCCTGTGGGAGGCTTCTCTCATGTCCCTGCATGAGAAGTTAGAGCTCAACAGACAGGAGTTTACCCCGTTCCCTGGATTCAAACCGCCAACCTGTCAATTGACCAGTCACCACCGAGGGCTCCTGGTTCCATTATTCTACCCAAGTCAGTTCTCACTTATAACAATTCCAGAACAGAATTTTCTTGGCAAAATTTATTTGGAAGCCATTGCCTTCCTCTTCACCTGAAAGAGTGTGACTTGCCCATGGTCATACTGTGGGCTAAGCAGGGATTGCAACCATGATCTTTTGGAGCCTATGTATTTAGTGGGTGATATGTTTTAATGAACTAGTGCCTGCCTTGTGAGGAAAGGCGGGTAACGAATACATTAATTGTTGTTGTTGTTGTTTTTATTATTATTTTACTGACACAAAACATAGTATGTCACAGCGAACGGGATATATATGCTGGATTTCATTATTGTTATTATTATTTCTTCCACTATTGTATATGTGCTTCATTCTATATCACATACTATCTCCAAACCTACTAGCTACATAAATACTTGTACACAGAAAGGTGAGAACACCATGATAATCCCAAAGAGAGTGCTATTGGAAGCATTTAGTGTTCCATAATTTACAATTAAAGGTCTCAAGTCTGTCTATAAACAGATACTAGATAAATAGGAGGTTAAACAAAGAAAACAAAGATTGAAAAAGGACTAATTGGTTAGCAAGTTTTACAGGCTCCACTTTCATGTGGATGTTATGTTAAAAAATAGCAAAATAATCCAAACAGAAAAAAAAATTCAATAGAAATTGATAGAGATTGAAGTATGGAAATAGAATAAAAAATACCTTAAACTTAACTTTGCCTGAGAATAAAAGGATTCAGGAAGCATGAAGGTCATTATACAAAGTTACATTTATGGAGTAGTATCGGAAGAGCTCTCTTAGATATGGAAAACTTTTTCCATATGTGCCAGGTTTTTCCAGCCCAACTTCCTATGCTGTTGAAACACATCCCCAAAGGTTTTAGGAGTGGCTTCCAAGTTATAAAGAACAGTGTTTCACAATTGGGAGTGGGGACACTGAAGCTCCGTGTTTTTGGTACACCTACTCTTGCTGTTTAATGTCGCTGAATTGTGGCTAGCATCAAAAAGCTGCAAGATCACACTGCACTGGTGTCCAAGGTTAGGGTCAGAGCCTCCTGCCTCATTCCACAGCCTCCAGAACAAAAGAACCATTATTCTTTCAACGTCAAATAAGGCACTTTGTTAATATATTAGGGCCGAAACCCCAAAGCACTTGCCTTTGCTGCACGCATTAAAATTTCCCTTTCTTGTTCATCTTTCCGCTGTTTTTCTATTTGATCAAGTTGTTCAAAGAACTTCAGCTGCGCCCGAACATCACTTGCTTGGTCGTATCTTTCATCATCCTAAAAAAATGTGATAAAATGCTTTCATTAGAAACCAGAAAGGAGAGGAATGAGAAACTTGCTCATTTGTATAATATGGCCTTAAAAAGAGAAAAATACACTCAAAATGTTCACTTAGTCATCTTCAAACAGTAAATTAATATTTTAACCCACATAGCCAACTAAATATTTTTATATATTCCACATCCTCTTCTATGATCCCATCAGAGTATTTAAGAAATATTTTCTACCAGCTCCTTTTTTTTACCCCAAAACATTTTTGAAGGCCATATCTTTCACACATGGGATTCTGGCAAGTCATCTTAAGTCTATCCAACATTTATCTTTTTCCAGTATCTTACACCTAAACCTGGCACAAGTAGACAGGAATGCTGGTTTAGACTTTGTTCATCAAGTCCTCTCTTTTGTGCCTGACAGAGGCCAGAAATATATGCTTAAGAATGTATATGACAGAAGATATTAAAATAACAGTCTCCTAATTCCCATCATTTCCAGGCTGGAACACTTTCAAGTTTTGGGATTCTCTAAATCTTGCCTAGACCACTCCAGTTTGTGGTTGTTCATATTCCAATCTAATTTCAGCGAGTCTTTTTCTCTGCTGAGGCTGCTGGCCAACAGTAAGTCCAATGAGAATGAATTAGACTCATAGAGCTGAACAGACAACAAAGGCATCCTAGTGCAACCCCTCTGCCATGCAGGAGTCCACAGGTAAGGCACTCTTGGGAGTTCCGCAGTCCAGTCTGAATGTATTTGGGAAGGGATTATTATACTGTAGTCTGAGATGTTCCCTGAAATGTGAAGGGACCATGTTGAGACACGTTCACTCTGATGAATATGACTTTTGCCCACAAAACATAATCCCATATCTGAGCAAAGGAGTATATTATATGGTGAGGTATCATGGGAAGCTGTAGGACTCTTCCATAGATATCCAATAACCCATGGATGAAAAACTGTGTTTGAATGTGATTACATGCTTGGCTGAATATAGTGGGTGTTTAATGTCCACTAGAGTTTGGCTCCAGGAACTCAAATCTGTGAATGCTCAGATCCCATTATATACAGTGGTGTAATGAAATGCTGTCCCTTATATAAAACAGCAAAATCAAGGTTTGTGTTTTGTATTTTTTAAAAATTCAAGTTGTGCATTGCTGAATTCCATGGATGAGGAATCTATTGATATAAAGAGTTGACTCTATAATGTATGTCTGCAGTAATGACTACAAAGCACTTATAGTATTGACTCTATGAGTCATATTTCATGAGGAGCTCCTGGTGCCACAGTGGGTTAAACTGCTGAACTTGCTGACTGAAAGGTTGGTGGTTCGAATCCAAGAAGTGGAATGAGCTTCTGCCAACCTAGCAGTTTGAAAACATGCAAATGTAAGTAGATCAATAGGTACCGTTCAGTGGTAAGGTAATAGAACCCATGCTGTCATGCCAGTCACATGACCTTGAAGGTGACTACGGAACACCTGCTCTTAGGCTTAGAAATGGAGATGAGCACCACCCCCCAGAGTCAGACATGACTAGACTTAATATCAAGGAGAAACCTTTACCTTTAATGACATTTCAAAAATTGTGCCATATGATCCTCCTGCAACTATAATCCTGTGTGGATTTGAAGTTCGCTCAGTGAACTCACCTGCCAAATTCATCCATCAATGGGAATTTTATCATGAACCCATCATGGCTTTTGGTTGGTCAGTTAAGAGGGGATCTACATAGCAGATCATTGGTTTGACCCCGACATAACTGCAAACCATAGCTTCTCATTATGAGAATAAATGGGGCTGGATCTCCACTCCTCTTTTTTCTACTTTTGCTCACATACAAAAGCAGAATATCAGAAACATGCAGTTTTGGCTGATGCATGAGAATACAATTTACTCTCATACGATGGTGTGAAATTATATTCTCCCTTAAAATATGTAGTAGAGGAAAATTCACACTGTAATCAGCCTATCCAATTCTTTTCTTCAATTCACATTTTCTTGATGTTCTGAATAAATATATCTGGCTTATTAGCATACCTGCCTGCAGGTGGTTTTATTCTGAAATGTGAAAAGCTGACAAAAATGGGCCCCACAGAGACTAAACCTAGTCAGTATCTATTTGAATCTATTCTTATTATTTGCAAATGCATGACTTTTTTTTTAGATGTAATAAAGACATACTGCCTTCAGAAGACACTGAGAATTTAATTTGGTAGATTTTAAAAACCAATACAGGCAGCCCTGGGTTTTGCTCACTGAACTGCTCTGCACATTTCACATTTGAGAAGAAGTTGTGGGGTAATTACTTTATAATAATTACTGTTTATTTTGTTTTTAGTTTCTATTGGGAATTATTTGTCATCCTGCCTCCACTGTTACAGCAAGGATTGTGCCTGCAAAGCACATATAATTACACAAGCCAACAAGTATTTTTCATCAGATATCATTTTAGGTCATTCCTATAGAGTTTTTTTGCACTGAATTCAGATCTGTGTTTATTTTTTCTCTATCACAAGTAGTTTTGTGATGTGTTTAAGTGAGTAATTAATGAATTTACATACAGATAGCAATAGAATCTAATTGATATAAGTGCATAAATACATTAATTATTCAATTAGCCTCATCGCAAACACTACATAAACAAAGTTCTGAATTCAGTGCGAAAAACTCCATAAGTATGACCTAAAATCATATCTGATGAAAAATACTTCTTGGCTTGTGTTACACGAATATGATGCGAAATGTGCAGACGTTACAGTAGTGACCATATTTTTAAAAGCTGACGTGATGGGAAAAAATAAAGACATATTTAAAATCAGCATAAAAGTTGATTTAAACTGTGCTACTCTCATTTCTGATGATTACAAAAAGTTTGATTTTGTTGGCTTGAGTTATTTTAGACCAAGACACCTTTGCTCATCACAAGGTTCCCTTAAAAGGAAGGTTGCAAAAATTGTTAACCTCTGCCCAAGAGGAAAATACTGGGACTGCATTACACCGTTTAACTGAAGCACAAAGGAAAACACACTACTGAACAATCTCACAAAAGACAAGACCGTTACCTTGTAAGAAAGATTCTTTTGCTGAGCCGTTTCTGATACCTTCTCAACTAGCGTTTGTAACCTTTGCTGCGTTGCATGCGATACATAGCTAACTACATCAGGATGGATTTCCGTTATTCCGTGTTTTTTACCTATGTTTTCCAAGAGAAACAAATGGGTTTTTAAAACAAATACAAGCAACCTCTGCTAATTTAGCACTAAAGGAATCTATGTAATTACAAATAAAAACTATATCTGTTTTACTTAAGGGTGGTCAGTCATCAAAGCAATGAGCTCACTTGCAGAAGCTGGCCCTAGAAATACATTACAGCATTGCAATTTCCAGGTCACTGCTAAGGCAATGTACATTTTACTTAAATACAGCTGAGCAGTTTCCAATATGCCATGAACCAACACGTCAGATATTCAAGAGTATGTACACCTAATGATGGATGTGGGCTACTTGGCAGTCATGCTATTTTAGCTCTTTTATATTGCTCTTTTTCTGTGTGAAGTGTTTTATCTTCAAATCTTTATAGCTTTGACAAAAGATCATAACCAGTTATTCAAGACAGCAATAAAAGGAAAAGACATACCATTCAGAATTTAAAAGAATATAACTTAATAAAGTTACCCATTGCTATGGCCAGTAGTGTTCACAATAAAAAACCTATAGAATAAAAATGACTAAAATATTTTATTTATAATTGACAATCTCTTGTCACATGACATCATTTGTCCTCAACGGTCAATCATACAAAATACTATAAATTAAAAAGGTAGCAAGATCAAAAATGCTTTATGATCCTAATTGCATTCTCCCACCCCCCCACCCCCCCAAATAACCAAATGGGTTGTTATGATGAATCCCATAAATATGACCTGACTGGAGGATCAGGGGCTACGTCAACAAGTAAAAATCCATTCCAATCATTGCATGACAACTTGGCCAAGTTTTGAAAGTGCAGTATTTGCCATTTGCTTGTTAAAATCAATAGTTTTTGTCAGAAACGGACACCAAGGTAGACCACAGTAGTTATTTGTCACAGAAGCCTGATCAGAATTGGCATAACTGAAGCAGCCTCCAATGGTTTTACAGTTGTTCCACCCACTAAATTTTTAGGTGTTCTAGAATTTTTCAACGGTATATTTAAAAGTCAATTCTGTCAATGAGATAAAAGCATGTTAGGAAATACTACTGTGTTGTGCAAGTACCAATATAACAGAGAGCAAAGACTGGCTGCTGCTACACATCAGGCAGAGAATCGCTGAGAACCCTAGATTTGCTAGAACATAATGTCTACAGGAGCCCCAAAAGTAAACAATTTATATTGAGCTTAAATAACCTTCTGCAAGTACAGAGACTGCACTTATGTCAAAGGAAGATGAAAGCAATAACTCACCTATTTCTAATATCCTTCTTTGCAAAGGTGCTGGAAGAAGGAACGTTTCGTCTTTACACGACCGTGTTAATGTACCGACCAATTCAGAATTGGTGGCCAATATACGCGCACTCTCTTCCGATAGGTTAACTCCTGCCATCGATGCAACGTCATTAATATCATCGTCATCCCTTGAAAAGAATAAAACATTAAAATCAATTTTATTGTGATTTGGACTAAAGAGAGGCCAAAATTCACAAAACAGATATACAAAATCAAACTAAAACAGTTGCCTCTTTCTATTCAAACTGCATTCAATGCACTGTTGATCGGATCATAGGATAATAACAAAAGGGTTAACAGTAAAGTGAAAAAGCAAAACGATTAACAGTAAAGTAAGTGTAGTGAAAACCTGTTTAAATTCAAGGTAATGAAACTTAATACCAAAATATTAAGCCAAGCAGGAAAGTAGAGTCAAGCCAACTAAGTAACTAAGTGCTCTTGTTTCCAGTATGGAACTACACAAATAATGGCTCAAGAGGTCTGCAGATCTTTCAGTGAAAGCTTACTAGATTTGAAATGAACAATTCGAGACAAATTAATGAAAAGGCCAATCCAAAAGAGCACATGGAGAGCAGCATTTGATCCAGACAGGAATCCTTTCAGTCAGCTATTCCAAGAAGTGGGAGCAAGAAATATTGTATTTTGCCTCCTGATCGGTGAGATTCAAGTTGGGAAAGCTTTGGGAAAATCGTACCCCTCTCCTCCCCCAAACAATGGACAGCAATGCACATAATTTTTCACCTCAAATTAGGACTGATAGGAATTGCAGCCCAATACAAAAAACATGAGGAAGAGAAATACTCTCCATCCATATTTAGAACATAGTATGCAGTGCTATGATCCAGCTTAGATAAGTGGACTAGAGTCTGGAACAATTACTATTTTAGACTGCAACTCCTTGTGGTTAGGCTAGCAGCAGGATTCTGGGAACTGTAATCCAAAATAGTACCTATTTCCATTTCTTTTCCAGATATGACTGTAAATGGGTGAAAAAATAAACATTTAGCAATTTTCAACTGAAGTAAACTAAGTATATTATTCAAGGATTTTTTAATTTTTTATATCTTATTGTTAATAAATACTTTTAGAATATTAAAAAATAATTGAATGAAAACTGCCCTGGTCCATCATTTCTACCGTTTCTCTGTTCAGAAAATCATTCAGACATGTTCAGGAACTAACATTATGGAGACCATGCCACCAAAGACAACTAAGTTCAGAAGTCACTCTTGAGAGACAGGTTCAATTGAGGGTTTTCAAAATATGGGAACCAGTAGGGGGAGCTCTGACCCAATAAAACTAAAATACAACAACAAACAGGCTTGCTTCCACACCTGTAATATATAACTAGTAGTATTGCACCTCCCAGACCACATGGAGGGATAATGAGTATGCTGCACTCCCTAGTTCCTGGGATGAATCCTGTAAGGAAATTATGCAAATCTATTTTGCTGTGAGAGTTGGGGGAGTGTTCTGTTGTTCTGAACAAATGGGGGGGGGGGCACAATGTGACTATGGGGACGACAGGAATTGGTACTCATTCTCACCACTTTAGGAGCCCTAGCAGGCTAAGTAGTGGTAAAGAATAATTGGCATTAATTAGCATTCCCGTGTTGCTGAAATATAAAACCGGGGGGGGGGGGGGGGGGGGGGGAGAGAGAAAGATCAGCCATATCATATTGCAGAGACTGGTGTCATCTCTAGTATGTTCTGCCACTATGAGACAAATACACATGCACATAGGATTACTTACCTAAAAGAACCTCCCCCAGGTTCTTTGAGTTTATTTTTTTGAGCAGCAGCTGCTTGACTTGAAAGTGTAGAAAGAGCTTTGGTTCCAGGTAATACTGTCTGTTTTACCACAGGTACTGTTTTTAAAAAAGAAATAGAAAAGAAAAGCAATCAAGACAGATGCTCCACAAGCAACATTAGCCCACAACAAACTATAGGATAAACAAGGCAAAACAAAAGCAGTTAAAATAAATTTTCTGTCTAGGCATAATTTATATGAAGCATAATTTAGAACTTAAAGGACCAGAATAGAGAATTTACGCTGTTCTGCTTAAGGAATCATAGAGTTGGAAGAGACCTTGTGGGTCATCCAGTCCAACCCCTTGCCAAGAAGCAGGAACACTGCATTCAAAGCACCTCCGACAGGAGCTTCCACCACACTCTGGAGTTCCACTGCTGAACAGCTCTCACAGTTAGGAAGTTCTTCCTCATGTTCAGGTGGAATCTCCTTTCCTGTAGTTTGAAACCATTATTCCACATCCCAGTCTCTAGGGCAGCAGAAAACAAGCCTGCTCCCCCCTCCCTATGACTTCCCTTCACATATTTATGCATGTCCCTCTTCATGTCTCCTCTCAGCCTTCTCTTCTGCAGGCTAAATATGCCCAGCTCTTTAAGCCACTCCTCATAGACTTGTTCTCCAGACCCTTGATCATTTAGTTGTCCTCCTCTGGACACATGCCAGATTAGAGTCAAGATCTCCCTTCAACTGTGGTGCCCAGAATTGGACACAGTATTCCAGGTGTGGTCTGATCAAGGCAGAATAGAGGGGTAGCATGACTTCCCTGGATCTAGACATTATACTCCTATTTCTGCAAGCCAAAATCCCATTGGCTTTTTTAGCTACCGCATGACATTATTGACTCATGTTTAACTTGTCCACAAGGACTCCAAGATCTTTTTCACACATATTACATGGAACGATTACTAGTGATCCGCTCCCTAGAAAAGCTTGCTCCAAAAGTTTCTGGTAAATACTGACTGCAGGTGTAGAGAATTATCTTTAATAATTCTCTATTAATAATACAGCTCAAAACATCACTTTTCCAACTGCTCATTTTGTTAGTTAGTTAGTTAGTTAGCTAATTAGTTAGAGTGTTAGCTGCCTTGAGTCCCCATGGGGATAAAGGTGGGGTATAAATAAAGATAACAACAACAACAATCCAGGAATACAACAACAAGTTTTTTTTTCAAACATCTTCCAACTGCAGTTTTATAGTAGGACAACAGATGGAGCTTTAGTATTTCTAAAAATCCATCATGCCATCCAGAGCTTGGATGTAATGCATTAAAAGTAACAGTACCGATTATCTTTATTTTCATCAACAATAGCCTACACAGTTACTTTTAAAGGACTATACCAACAATGTCAGTAATGTAATTTCTAATCAACAAGCTGTTACCTGAAGATGTACTTAACTAGTTTTTAATTTTTTAAATGAATTTAAAAATATAATTTGACATTTCAAAGTAATGTCTTAGAGACACATTGCATTATTTTTCACCAGACAATAATGGGTAAGAAAAACAAATTACTGACTTTAAAGCAGGCCTCTTCAATCTGCAGCCCTCTGGGTGTTTTGGACTTCAACTCCCAGAATGCCTGACCATTAGGCAAGCTGGCTAGGACTTCTGGGAGTTAGAGGCAAAAACACCTGATAGGTTTCAGTTTGAAAAGGCCTGCTTTAAAGAAAAGCAACTTAGTGCATTAGCTCTGGTCATAACGTGACGGTTTTCCTCTTACCTGTCTGAAGTGGATTCAGCTGAATTTGTTGAGGAGCAGTGAGCATAATACGGTTGTGTGGCGGCCTCAAGGCAACCATGGGAGTCTGTGTCAATGTCACCTGTGGAGGCCGAATCAATGTGCCTGGTTTTTGAGACTGCTGGATAACCTGTGAATATTTAGAGAGGCAACTTTCAGGTTGGTAAATTAGGATAGGACAAAGGTTTTTTTAAAACTCATTTTGCTTCTGGAAGACATTAAACATGCAAAAAGTGAACAATGTTGGGGGCAACATATTTCTAATTAACAGGCAACAAAGAGTATGAAAACAAAGTGGGCCTACAAACTGTAAATGGAGTGTCCCTGTTCTTAGGAAACCAGTAATGCCAGTGATGGTGGCAAGAATTTCTATTGAAAGAGTGACGCTGCTGTTTCAAGGCCTGACCATCCAACCCAGGTTCAATATATGAATTGAAGCAGATTCACTTTTCAAATAACCAAAACAGGAATGTGACAGGTATTCATAGTAATCAAAACTGAATCAGATGTCAATTTTAAGACCCTTTAGCATCAAATTAAAGTGAACAGAATTATTACAAATTTACACAAAGGTGGATGTAGGGCACCTACGGACACCTTCCAATTAATTGAGCTCAGAATTGTTTTTAAGTGCAGGCCAAGGTCTTTAGGCATTGCATCCAGTGTGCTGATCACCATTGGGACCACCTTTACTGGCTTGTGTCAGAGTCTTCGTAATTCTATTTTTAAATCAGATTATTATTATTATTATTATTATTATTATTCTGACACAAAGACACAGTATGACATGGCAAACGAGATATATATGCTGGATTTCATATCACAAAATCACAAGTCGAACACCTCCCAAGCATTTAGGACTATGTGATGTATTTTCGAATGATGCGCACAGATCCAAATAAGGTGGCCTTTTGCAGTTAATAGATTGTGATTTTGTCAATGTGTATTGTTTTCAAATGCTGGCTGAGATATTATTATTATTATTATTATTATTATTATTATTATTATTATTATTATGCTTCTCTATAGATGACTCTCACATATGTATAAGATCTAAAATGGATGTGTGGCTTACATACTATTGTAACATCTTATTTAGTTCAGAACACCCATGAAACACTAGCAAGATTTTACATGCACTAACAAACACTGCTGGCTAGTTCTGAGAAGGAAAAGGATCCATTTTCTGGGAGACCATTTTCTGGTAGAATAAATTCATTTTTGGTTTACACACCACCTGCGTGGGCTGCCCTTGTTTGCCAACCCCAACTTGCGTCGGTTGCGTTAGACTGATGACCGGCTGTTGCAAGGTACTCGTTACGGTGGCGGTGGTCTTCCCGGCTGTCCGCTGAACCGAGCTGCTCAGCATCACAGCCGTGAGAGCAGTCGTGGGCTGCGTCGTGGGCTGCTGATGCTGGCTTTGCTGAATAAACGCTGCTGAGTCTGGAGTCAGCTGTCTCAAGGCAGGCAAGCTCCGCTATAAGAACAGGAGAGAAACTAGTGTTATACTTCACTTTAGCAAATGCTAACATTCAAAACATTTGCTCAAACTACATATGCATCGAGGTTCAGTCATCTCAATAAGACTAGGCACATCTAAAAGGCACAGCTCTACACCCATGTGAATGGGAGCGCTGTGTAATAGGGGACATACACAGTGTCAAGAATCCTTATGTCATCTCAAATCTATTTTTAAAAAATCCTATCACGAGGAACAGGAAATCCCAGGATGTGTCTGCCACACTTTCTTCCACTGTTGAATAATTCACAAGTGACAGTGTTTCGCTCTCTAATCTGATGACAAATTTAACAGAAGTGAACCAATATCCCCGATTGTACTAAAGTTGCTTTTTAACTTGTTCAGTTAGCATTTCCCAACAACAGAATGAGTGTAGTGTCACTACTCAACAATGTAACATCTAAGCCAGGTGGACACACTGAGCCTGCATTTTCTTACAGTCCGATACACAGGAATACGTAAGTCAATGACATATTCCTGCATGATCTATAGTTCCTCCACAACGAGAAGTGGACCAGAGTAACACAATCAGCCTTCCCACCCAAACAAAGTGATTTCTGCACCCATCACCCAATGATGAGAACTAAAAGAAACCATCACACAAACACACGTGCATCCCAATAGCATGTCCATAATCAACATCACTAAGAGTAGAAAAGCAACTATAGTATATAAAGTTTTATCAAGAGTTTTTCAAATACATCAGTGTATTATGGATACTATTTCAAGATCTATTTATTCACCCAAAAGTTTTACAGTGACTAGATAGTCCTTTCTCGTATGTACCTATAAAGTCTGATATAGTATCCGATTAGATTATTATATATAATAAAAGGTCAGAATGAGCCCCCAGTGGTGCAACGTGTTAAACCACTGAGTTGCTGAACTTGCTGACCAAAAGGTCGGCAGTTCGAATCCGGGGAAAGGGTGAGTTCCCGCTGTTAGCCCCAGCTTCTGCCAACCTAGCAGTTCAAAAACATACAAATGTGAATAGATAAATAGGTACTGCTTTGGCAGGAAGCTAACGGAAATCCATGCAGACATGCTGGCCACATGACCTTGGAGTTGTCTACAAACAACACCGGCTCTTCAACTTAGAAATGGAGATGAGCACCACCCCCCAGAGTTGGATATAACTAGACTTAATGTCAAGGGGAAACTTTTACCTTTTACCTTTACCTTTAAGATACTGGAACAGAAGACATTATCTGCTATGGCCTGACGAAAATTTTATCCCCATTGAGAAATAATTTGCTTTCACCGAACCCATGTTTAAATTCTCTCCTTTTTAGAAGAATGCACATATAAAGGGGCATTGTGGCAATTCCCTGCTTTGTTGCATATCTCTCATTTACAGAACGTAACTACTATCTTTTGTTCATCTGTCTAAACTATATTACATTATACTGCTACAATTTCAAAGTTACATAACTCTTAACATTTCCAAACTATGAAGAGTACTTGCGAATCTACTCCAAACTAAAGAAAAGCCTATGCCTGAAGGGGGAAAGTCTACACTCTGTAATCCTTGACTGCACAGATCTGACAGGAATGCTCAAGACACTGACTTCTGACAAAAAGTGCCTTATGAGTGTAAGCTTTGGCGTTTCATTGTGGATCCCACAGGACAGTCCAGAAAGACTGCAAAGTTTAACACATTAGCAGCTAGAATCAAACAAAATCAGAAACAAATACATTTTGTGCCATAGTCCGATACAACAGAAGCTTATCATAATTAAGTCCTAGGATTGGTTCACAGAAAACCATCTGGAAGCCAGTCTTAGCCATCAAGCTTCTATTTGCTTCTGTGTTATATGATATAACACTTAGCAGACATTACCATCATTGATAACACAGGTTCTACCATTTTAGTTGGTGAAAAAACATTTCCAAACAGAAATTGTTAAAACTAACTCCAAGACTCAATACTCTACATACAAATCTTTACAAGAGTTATACTATTGTTATGTACAACCACAATCAGGCATTTAATGTATCTTTCTTGTAACATCATTATTAAAAAGGACTGGTCCTATCACTCTGAGATATGACACAAGGAAGAAAGAACTGCTGTTAATACCTTCAAGAAAGGCACAAGGTAAGGTTGAGGTGAAGAATTAAGTTCCCGGTATAACCTGCTGGTGAAATCTTCTGCTTCTATTTTTCCATCCTGTAGGACAAATTTAACACTTAGACACAGATAATGAACATTGGTAATAAGATCTCAGATGTTAAAACCAAGAGTGGAGTACATGCAGCCCTCCACGCATTGCTAGACTGAAATTCCTAATTTAGTCAGCATAGATGACAGATAGTGAGAACTGTATCCACAGAACATGGATCACCTCTTCCTTGCTGGAAAACACAAGTAGATCATTTAATGTGGAATTTTACTAAATATATTAGAAGACTAGTATTTAAGATATTCTTTAAAAAGTTCAATAAATTAAAAATTAAACACTCATATCTATCTGTTCTGCTCATAATGTCCAGTTTCATAAACTATACTCCTTAATGATCCCAAAACTGGTAAAACATTTGTCTGTATCAAGTAGATTGAGCTTTTTCCCTTTTTGGACTGGTTTTTAAAATTTTGATTTCAAATTTGTTAACAAATGGTCCTCTTAAAAATAACAATTAAATATCAAAACACAAGCATCGCCCAATTAGTAAACAAGCACTCAAAGAAAATAGGTGAATTACTACTACTCTTGTTATGACTACCTTACTACCAACACTGAATAAAAATACAAGAAACATTATGACATTCAACTTTTCATTGAATAAGCTACCATGTCATATTATGTGTGGACTTGATGAAGTCTAGTCTATCTGGAGGGAACTTACTACAAACAAATCAGATTTAAAACTGTGGGATTCAATTGCTACTAACTTCAACGCAAGCTAGTCACTGTTTCCTTGAGTTTGGATGTAAGTTGGATCTGTGGTTTGATCCAGAACAAAATTGAAGTTTTATTCAACTTTGCAAAGTTTAATTGAATGTCACATGCAAAGGAAGATTCAAGGAAAGGATCACCTAAGCCATGATTTAGGTCACCACATGTACCAATCCAGTGTATTATCTTACCAGTAGGTTCTGAACTAGTTCTTTCACATTAGCTGCAGTCTCTGTAGACTGCTTTCCAGAAGAGGCCAGTTTTATTAACGTAGAGAGGAAATTCTTGCATTTCTTCACATTTTCCATGGTTTCCTGTTGGAGGGAAAGATGGAGAATCGAAGTAAAAAAAGAGAAAAGCGTAAATATACCTCCTGGGCGTTCTAGAACCCAGGTCAAGTCTATCTTTTACCAACAATCAGAATCCAAAGTATTTTCACCCACTGCGTATAAACAGTAACCACCCCCCACCTCACGCCCACCACAAATTCTGGCTTTCAAAAACCTCAATATTCACTCTTTTAAAAATTGAAACCATTTCTGGTCTTTATTACTACAAAGAAAAATCCAAGATGAGCAACCTGAATAAACTTTCCATTAGCTGTAGAGGGAGTAGCATTTCAGTGTCCTACAAAATTATTTACTTTTTCTTGCCAAGATTAAGAGCAGAATAAACTATTAATACATGCACATGCATTTTTACAAATTTATCATTTATTCATATAGAAATTAAAATTGTTTGGATGAAGTTTTTTTTTATTTTGGTATATTATTTGTGCATTGTAGTAATTTTCATCTTCATTTTGTGTTTTGTATCAACTCACTTAGCCAGTTCCTCATTCATAAAGTTTATCATGGACCTTTCACTGTGTTAATGCAGTCATTAATACGCCCCAAATGGAACACAGAATATAATGCATTTCTGTTTAGGAAGCTGATTAGAGCTGGCTTTTGGCTTGCAGCAAACAGTTATTGGGATCTTACTGTGGCCACAGTTGAGGTCGCTGTGGCTCCTTGCACCGTCCTCTGAGGAGTTCCAGTCTGCACCGCAGTTGCTGTTCCTAATGTTGTCGTTTGTGCTGGACTACCCAAAACAATCTGAGGCTGCAAGGTAACACAGACATTAGCCAATTATACAACGAGGTCATAAACAAAAAGAGAATGAATCATGATCACAGTGTCTGCCACAACAGTCTTAAAACCTGCTTCCAGATAACAAGCCCTGTTTAGCTATCCATCTGATTCAGTTTAAGAAGTGGCCGCCAGGTGGCACAAAGTGCTACCCGTTCAAATTGTCAACTCTGGAAGTTGATTAAAGGCATGTGTATTGCCTAAAAGGCCGAAGAGCACTGTGCAACTTGCTGTAGGGACAGTCACATGCACCTGTTTCATCTCTGCTTCTTAAGAATCATTCAAAATTCTTTCAAGGGGTGCTGTGTACACCAACAGAATAGGCAAGGGTATTAATTTAAGCCACAAACATTTCCTTACGTTGATTTGTCCTCAACTGCAATTAAACTACGTCTGCACACCTTCCACCTGTACACACCTTCCATTAGTGTCAAGCTTCTGATGGTGCTGATTATTCAGAATAATTCTCGTGAATGTCTCATCACAACTGCTTTAGCCTTTAAGTTGTAAGTGGACCTAGGGCCCTTCCAGACAGGCCCCATATCTCAGGATCTGATTCCAGTTTTTCTGTTTATCCTAGATTATCTGCCAGTGTGGACTCACACAATCCAGAGAAAACCTGGGATCAGATCCTGGGTTATAGGGCCTGTCTGGAAGGGCCCCTAGTGAGCAGGAATTTTCTGTGGTGTTTATACTCTTTAGTGTTTTCACCTTCAAAAACAGTTCCAAAATGCATTATTTATTTCAGGACATTTCCATCGAGACTTCCCTTTTCACATGTAATGATTGGATGCTAACTCTTATATTACTGATGTAACACGAACTTCTCAGCCCTGATTAAACAGATCCACTGAATCAAAAGGAAGTTGGTATGTCACTACTGATGTCAGTTCCTTGATTCACAGGTTTATTCTAGATCCATGATGGTAAACTTATGACATGCGTGTCAGCCCTGAAACACATGGGTATTTTTCATGACACGCGGCCACATACAGAGAAGTACATTTTATAAGAGCCTATCTAATTTCATCCTGAAATTTGTAAAAGGCTCTACAAATTTAACATCTGCACGTTTGAGCATTGTTCATTCCATAACTCAGCATGGAATATACATTTTTCTTATTTAAACTATAAATATTGCAAAATTGCGTTTATTTTTTCTCGAAGTTGACACGCCACCCAAGTTATGCTCAGACTTTTGGCAAATTTTGACACACCAAGCTCAAAAGGTTGCCCATCACTGTTCTAGATGGAACTAATAATCAAAATTAGACCAGATGAGAGAAGGGCTACATTAATTATTATTCAGTGTTATATTCTGGTGATTTTCAGGTTCCTGGCCTATAGGGAGTAAGTTTTACAAAGATTTGACTTTCATACACCATGTTGATAAACACAAAGCACATGTACACCAGGTAGAGTCTGGGATAGTAGTAGGTGGTGGACCAGTACCATCAGAGTGTTTCCAGGAAACTATGGTAATTTAATAATAATATGGTACATAAGTTAAAAAAAATCAGTTAGCCATATCTAATAGAAAGCCAGAGTGGCATAGAAGTTTGAGTGCTGGACTAGAACATTAGGAAACTAGGGTTCAAATTCCTATTTGGCCATGGAAACCTACTGGGTGATATTGGGCAAGTCATGCTTTCTCACAGGATGGCAAAGACAAACCTCTTCTCAACAAATTCTGCCAAAACTACCTTGTGACAAGTTTGTCTTTGAATTGGCATGAGACTTGAAGGCACAGAAGAACAACGTATCTGATAATCTGAGAAGCCATGTACAGACTGCATCCTAATGCAGTTTCAGTTTGAATCAGATTAAGTGGAGGCATAACTCTGCTTCTTGAAGCACAGCTAATTGTTCAAGATATATATATAGCTGATAGTATAAGATATAAGGGCCTGCTTTGACCAATGTACCTGAACTACAGGCGGCCTCTGTAACGTTGTTGTGGGCTGTACAGTTGTCTGTGCCTGAGACACTTGCTTGATTATAGTGGTCGGGGCCACCTGCCGTGCGATTATAGGCGTTCCAGGAGCCTGCAAAAAGAATCCCAGGTACATTCAAAGAGGAGCAGCTACAAATACATAAATCAATCAATTTGGAACACAACAGTCCAAAACAGTCCAACAGTCCAAGAAAGTCATTATGTGTGAAGTAGGCAAAAACACTGTATCATGAAACTCAGTTTAAATTTAATCTTCTGTGCTGTCTTCAGGTCTTCTCACAATGTGACCTGCGCATTGAAATGGTTCACACTGCTGATCTCACAGCATCAAATCTAGTCCTTATTATTCATGTATGTAAACCCATAAAATTATGCAAAACATTAAATATCCACAAAAACTGCAGATTAAAAATGTAAAGATTTTAAACAGAAATTGCAGTAGTCAGGTGATGGGACCCCCGCTATAGCTTTGAGGGCTGTAGATTAAAAAGCATTACTTCATCAAATTATACTATGATGTTTTAACTGAATAAAATCATTTTAAACTATCATAACTGTTCATAGAATAATGAACAGTTCCTATCCTGGTGCCTTTATCAAAAACTATGAAATAAAAAAAAACATTATTGGAAATGTTCTGTCTTAACTCTAATATTTGAGATGAATTACTTTAAATTTCAATTTTAAAACCTCATAGTTACACCTATCAATTTAAGTCTGATTTTATATGAATGAGCTGCAAGGCATTTATAGTCCGAATCCCAAACAAAATTTCTCTCTAGATTTTCTGAAGAGGAACCATCATCATCCCCAGATTTTTTTTTTGTCAGAAGCACGCCTGGATATGTTACCATCCTGTGGGAGGCTTCTCTCATGTCCTCGCATGAGAAGCTAGAGCTGACAGAAGAGAGCTTACCCCGTCTTGCGGATTCCCCAGATAACATGGGGAAGTTTGGAGAAAGGTGCACTAAACACATTTCGATAGTTACATTGTACTAATAAATTGGTGGGAGGGGATCATTTATGATACTGGCTTGTAGTATATGGGATGCTCTTGTATTAGAAATCTGACAGGCTCCAACTATTCTGAGTTTTCAAGACATGTTATAAAAAGAAATCCTTCAACTTGACATTTATTTCTTCAACCTCATAAGTAATATATGGTATAATAATTTTATGCTTTGTTGATGTCTATCATTTCAAAATTCTTGGACCCAAACATTTTACAAAAATTGTAAATAAATACATAAAATATCCTGGAAATACAAATAACAAATAAATGACACTGGTAAAATTTTGCATGTGTCACCCACATAATGGTCCAGTCTGGGCCAAAGTCAGTGTCCTGAAATTTCCTGTTCAGCTTATCCCCTTCTAAAACCACAATTGCTCATTAGAATCATATTAATTTCAGAGTTTTTACTTATAACTATCACATTTCTATCACAAACACTGGGGCTGAAACAGTGATGTCAGATCACTAAAGCATGGATCCAAATAAGTGTTGGCAGTGACCATTCTAATTTATCAAGAAGAAAAAGCAGTATTTCTCGTACCTATACGTTTTAAATGTGAATATGTGTTTGGATTATTTGCCATATACATATAGCTGTCTTAAGTGTATCCAACCCATAGCTCTCAATAGGAATTGTAGAAATTAGTGACTGAGATTCCTCCCATCACAACTATCAACCTCTCCGCTTAGACCAGATGGGGAAACCTTCTTTTGCCTAAAGGTGCCATAGGCTGGTGGTTTCTCATCCCAAGCATAGACTCCAAAAATATGTCCCTTTTCCCAGTCTCCCTCTCTCATACTATGTCCTTTCTTTTGCAATTCCTAACAGTATGGAAAACTGAATGCTGTACCAAATTATGCAAATGTTATACAGGCAAATTAAAAAAATATTTGCAAACTTGCACATTTGAACCATTTATTTCAGCCAGGGATTTGATATTGTGTGTTTAGTTCCCTCTATCAATTTTTAGAAATTGAGGTTTTATATGTACATCAAAGAGCTCTGATTTAGAGCCAGGCAATGAGACCCTTTGATAAGGAAGAAAAGCTTATTTCAATACCCAAGGAAGATCTGGTAAAAGTATAGCACAAGAATCTTGAAGGAACAGAGGGCAGCATCTTGATAACTCTGCCAACGTATTATCAGAACAGGAAAATATTAGGCGGACAATCAGAATACAATGCAAGGCACATCATGATAGCTTGAGCCTCTGGATGAGGCTAACCCAGATACCCTCAAATGTAAGAAAATTTAAGGTTGTCTTCTACTTACATTTCTCAGTGAACTGACCTGCACAGTCGAGAGCTGTACTGGAGAAGCACTGGTAGGTGTGGCAGGGCGAGGAGTCATGGTCGTTTGAGACTGGGACTGTGCATGTGCTTGGGCCTGCATCTGTGCCAAAGCATGTTGAGGGATCATCAATAACTGGCCATTCTCGCTACGCACCAGGACCATGCCTAAAATGGAAGAAAGAAAGCACCCATAAGAAATGAGATAGGAAACAGAAAGTTGTTCCAGGTATTGAAGTAATGAAGATGCAACTTTTTGTGTAAAAAGCTGTAACAGACTCCTATAGCATCTTTGAAACTATGGTAACTCCAGCATAAACGTTTGGGGGCTCTACAATGGACTGGAAACTTGTTTAGATATTTCTTTTTTTCTCAACTAGACTCAATAATGTTGCATGGTTCCTTTTCTGTCTTTTTATGCTGTCTTTGAATGCCACTATGCTGATAAGGTAACTGAATAATGTTTCAACTGGGACCACACTGGGAGAGCGCATGGTTTGAAAGCAAGAAGGTCCAAATTCAAATCCCAGCACTGCTACCGTAGTAGAGCCTGAGCCTTTGAACAGCTACTGTCAGCTGAAGTAGAGGTAAGTGGACTGGTTCATCATAAAGCAGTTTCATATAAAATAGGGGGTTTGTTTAAAACAAGGGAGAAGCGTATTTCTAGTCCGTATAGTTGTTGTTGTTGTTACTATTATTACATTTGTGCCCTGCTTTATCTCTTTCAAAGAAGACTCGAAGTGGCGAAACCTAATTGTCCTCCCCCTCCCCCCCCCCCGCCTCTACATTTTGAGAAGCAAGTAGTATTTAGATTATTAAATATAAAGCTGCCACATCTTGAAGACTCTGAATAGGTAAAAGAGGAATTCAAGCATATAAAACTCATTAACATTGAATAAAGCGCAGTCAACGTCAAGCATACAAAACTATATCAAAATCCACCCCAAAGACCACCTTAAACAATTTTGTTGGACAAATCTTGCAATACCAAGAGAGATTTCTTCAGCAAGACAATTACCAACTTGTCAAGATGTCATTTTGTCAACTTGCTATTCCACACACCACTCTCATAAACCACTGGAAGCCCCTAAAAGCCTTTCTCATGAATGTCCCTCTCTCACTTTAAGTTAGATTATGGGAGAAGGACCTTCTCAACAAGCTTTGCCTATTTGCTTACACTGGAGGGCTTACACGAATGTCACTCGAAGCAGAAGAAGAGAGCAAAAATGACTACTGATCTTGCAAATCAAAGTAAAGAACCAAAGCTGGGAAGTTTGTAAACTACTCACATTAAAAGTATCCACTTAGTTTGTTCTTCTCCACACTTTCCGAGGCACAGAAAGAAATCTGAAGGACCATGAATATTCCCTTAGCAGCCGTGTCATGCACAAACGTATTATGTGCTGCCAAAATCCTTTTTATAAAATTTTAAGATCACAACCATATGACCAATTAGGACCAATAAATAGCTCAAATATCTTACAGGGAGTTTTGGGGGATTTCAATTCAGATCTCCACTATCCAGTTTTAAGTCACCACATTGCCTGCTTTTGCAGAATTGCTTATCTTGAAAAATCACCCAGCTTTCTACATTACTTACTCCTGAATAAAATAGATTCTTTTGTGTGTGTGTGGGGGGGGGGGGGTAGGGTTACACACTCCATTGTGTGTACAGTTCACTCAAGCACACCTAAAAGCCACCAATCAATTAAATGTCTGTTTCATTAGAAATGGGAACTCAAATTACCTAACTTCCAAATTAATTTTCCATAACAGATTTAGTCGCAAAAGTGGTTATAAAATTGTAACTGGCCTCCAATGCATCTGTAATAGACAATGCAGAACAGAATTATATCCCCAAAGAAAAATAAAATGATGGCAAACAAGGCAGCTATTCCCTGTTCAGTCAAACATATCTACACTCTTAACCTGATATAATAGCTATGGTTGGATAGGACTAAAAAAAAAATAACCAAACGTGCAAGTACTGGCCTCAAGTCTTACGAGCAAAACTAAAATACAGGAAACGTAGCACACTTAGTCAAGTATTATTCACCCACATACACTGTCAAATACTGATTTGATTGTTCTTCCCCTGTTCACACTATCTCCACTAACCCATTCCCCACACACATACACATTCCCTGTCCTGAACTTAATGTCCTAAAGGAACCAGATCCATCTGAACTTCTGATAGGGTTAGTTCTTGGATGGGAGACAACAAATGCCAGGTGCTATAAGCTGTATTTCAGAGGTCAAAACCACCTCTGAGTACTCCCTGCAAAAGTAACAGGTGACACACAAACACTGTCCCTGTTTCAGCCTCCAAATCCTCGAAATAGGGGTTTGCATTTTAGAAACATTACTGCTTCTTTGTTTACCTATGACTTAGGTTGAGTGCTCCACAGAGACAAAGCTCCACAGTATCCTTGTGTGTATTTATACCTTCTGTCATTCACCACGAACCCTCTGAGCAGAGGACATAAAATAACCCCCTGATATTTCTGAGTCTCAAGTCATGCTTCCGTAGTCCGCAGCTAACAGTGATGCAATCCCCTCCCACTCGCTGTAAAAAGATCTACGGAGAAGCTCCAAAAACAATAACAAGGCCACAAGTAAAGCATATCAAGTCACAATTTGCACATGTTTTTCAGGGATGTTATTATAATAAAAGTAGGGGCTGAGATTTTTAAATTTCATTTTTAGTGAAACACTTCTATCTTCTTATGAAGAAGAAGGTCAGGGAAATGAGGGAAAGGTCACACTAATTAGTTTACAAAATGTATTTCCAAGTATTATATGACCCCTCCCCAGAACTAAAGCATCTTGTTCTAGGAGAACATCCTCATTAAAAGAGAAATTGCTATATTATTTATCATTCCTTTCTTCCATCCCTATATACATAAGTACACCCATTCTTTAAAAAACTGTTGTTGTTGTTCATTCGTTCAGTCGTCTCCGACTCTTCGTGACCTCATGGACCAGCCTACGCCAGAGCTCCCTGTCGGCCGTTACCACCCCCAGCTCCCTCAAGGTCAGTCCAGTCACTTCAAGGATGCCATCCATCCATCTTGCCCTTGGTCGGCCCCTCTCCTTTTGCCTTCCACTTTCCCCAGCATAATTGTCTTCTCTAGGTTTTCCTGTCTCCTCATGATGTGGCCAAAGTACTTCAACTTTGTCTCTAGTATCTTTCCCTCCAGTGAGCAGTCGGGCTTTATTTCCTGGAGGATGGACAGGTTGGATCTTCTTGCAGTCCAAGGCACTCTCAGCACTTTCCTCCAACACCACAGCTCAAAAGCATCGATCTTCCTTCGCTCAGCCTTCCCTAAGGTCCAGCTCTCACATCCGTAGGTAACTACAGGGAATACCATGGCTTTGACAAGGCGGATCTTTGTTGCCAGTCTGATGTCTCTACTCTTCACTATTTTATCGAGACTGGACATTGCTCTCCTCCCAAGAAGTAAGCGTCTTCTGATTTCCTGGCTACAGTCTGCATCTGCAGTAATCTTTGCACCTAGAAATACAAAGTCTGTCACGGCCTCCACGGTTTCTCCCTCTATTTTCCAGTTGTCAATCATTCTTGTTGCCATAATCTTGGTTTTTTTGATGTTTAGCTGCAACCCAGCTTTTGCGCTTTCTTCTTTCACCTTGATTAGAAGGCTCCTCAGCTTCTCCTCGCTTTCGGCCATCAGAGTGGTGTCATCTGCATATCTGAGGTTGTTAATGTTTCTTCCAGCAATTTTCACCCCAGCTTTGCATTCATCCAGCCCCGCACATCGCATGATGTGTTCTGCATACAAGTTAAAAAGGTTGGGTGAGAGTATGCAGCCTTGCCGTACGCCTTTCCCAATCTTGAACCAGTCTGTTGTTCCGTGGCCAGTTCTTACTGTTGCTACTTGGTCCTTGTACAGATTCCTCAGGAGAGAGACAAGGTGGCTTGGTATGCCCATCCCACCAAGAACTTGCCACAATTTATTATGATCCACACAGTCAAAGGCTTTAGAATAGTCAATGAAGCAGAAGTAGATGTTTTTCTGAAACTCCCTGCCTTTCTCCATTATCCAGCGGATATTGGCAATCTGGTCTCTCATTCCTCTGCCTTAAAAAACTGTATAATCATTTAATTTTTTTCTGGAATCATCTTTCTGCACACAATCCTGGACTGTTTCCATGTAATCAGCACACTGAGCCTGTTTTTTGTCATGATTGCTCTTATTGTTTTTGCAACAAATATGTAGCCCTTACTGATGTGTAAAGCCAGGTAAAAAACGGAAATTAGAAGGACAAATACACTGAATAATGGAGTTATTTCTCTTTCTAACAATCAAAGGAATTTGTTTCAAAAGCCTTTATAGTTAACTGTGATTTCCCATGATTCGCTGATTTCTCCCCATAACAAAGTACGCTTAAAATAAATAATTTGTATGAGATGCATCATCCAGGTTTTTGTTACACAAGATCCTTATTCTGTCTAAAACTGAACAGGCAAGAGGAAAACAAAAGTGCAGCACATCTTCTGGATTCTGATGGTTTATAGTATATGTTATGCACCATTTAAGTCTCAAGTTATCTCCATTCTCGGTTGGAATGGAAAGGTGACTTTACTCCCACATTCTGAAAGTAATTTAACCAATTGGTTGCCATCTATTCTTCAGAATTGGGACCCAAAATGGCTAACAATTTAAAAACAGATACAAGCTAGATATTAAAATAGATTTGAAATAATTCAATCATTAAAACAATTAAAATAGATTTATACAATAAATAAAAATCTGTTTATAACAATTCTACTAAAATAAGACATCCTTTCCTGTTTTAAAAGCCTGTCTGAATGAAAAAGTTTTAAACTGCTGATGGAAGGACATGCAGAAAGCCATTCTGGCTTCTGTGAGAAAGGAGGTCCAGAGCCCAGGGGAAGCCACTGAAATGTCCCCATCAACAGTGATGGCAATGGAACTGAGAGAAGGACTCCTCCTAATGATCTAGAGCCCTAACAGGCTCATACCGGGGCGGGGGGGGGGGGGGGTGTTAGTCTGGGCCTGAGCCATATAGGACTGTATAGGTCATAACGAATACTTTGAACTGTTCCTAGAAACAAACTGGAAGCCAGTGAATTTGTTGCATCAAGGGAGTTGTGTGATCCCCGCAGCCAAAAATCTGGCTGTAGT